TTTAAAAATGTAACCATTATATTATTAATCGAGCTAAATATAGGGTTATATTCAAGCGATAACTTGTTCTTTAGCACCATGAAAAGGTTGGTAGTATAGGTGGATGGAATCGGACTGCTTCCACAAAATGCCGTTGATCGAAAATCTATAAAATGCTATAATTAAGCTACAAATTGAGATCGTAAATTTATAAAGGGGATCGAAGTAGAGGGTTAATGTATAGATTGTATGTATCTCACAAACCACTTATGGGGGGGGAGCCTGCTTTAGAGGCTCCAAAAAATCAATTGTTTTTAGGATTTTTTTGGGAGGGAGAGAAATAATTGATTTCAACGAAATTACTAGGGTTCATAGTTACACATGTAAACATCTTTCACAAATTTTTTGGATACGAAATCTTTGAAATTCTGCCTTTAACTTCTAGTTAAACTAAGAAATTTCCAAAAACAAAGTGTACAATTTTAAAAAATTTTTTAAAATTGAAGTGATTTTTGATGGAAAAAATTTCACTTTATGTTGTTGAAAAATATGTTCAAACTTCACTTTCGTTGTTTTATTTAGTTTAAATAGAAGATAATTTAAAGTCAAAGATAATAAACGTTGTCCCAATTAAATACGACGTTTAGTTTTGTTCTATCTTACCCGCCAATTACGAAAAATCGTAAAACCGAGATATCACGCGTCAAAGTTTTCACTTTCTGCTCAAGCGCAAATATATCTGCTAGACGCTTGGTCACTATTTCCCTTCTAGCTTCGAAAATAATCAATATTTCCCATCTAAAATAAAAATAATTCCCATCTATAACTTAGATAATTTTTAAAACGATTTAAGTAAAAAAAAAAAATTTTTTTTTTAAGCTTCTTAAGCAATCTCCCCCCTTAAGTTATAACCACCCGCCTTGCTAAGACCGAATTACGTTAGTATGCACCGCCTTAAATAATGAGAAAATTGGTGAAATTGAATAATAACCACGCCCTCTCAATATAACGGTTGTTAAAAACTACTACTCTGTCAGAATTGCAAACCAATTCTGATTTTAAATGGTGTCACAGAATCTGATTGGATTTTGGTCTTTTTCGAACATACGCAAAACCAATATTCGAACCAGCTGTTTACTAATGTGACAAAACTTGCAAATGATTACATTTGGAATACAATAGAAATATTATATTAAAGTTTTTAATCATTTCCGCATTAAAGGAAGATTTTAAGAGATAACATTTATCGAATGAATAAAGACGCATTTGGGTGTTAAATTACTTTTATTACGTTTTGTAAATCTTATTTATGGGGGAGCCTGCTTTAGAAATTTTGAAAAATTGAATTCTTTGCTTAAATTTCTTTAAAAATTATCTAAGAATATTAAACCAAAGTTATAGATGGGAACTCGAAATATTGTCGAAGCTAGAAAGGAAATAGTGACCGAGCGTCTAGCAGATATATATATGTATGAGCGCTTGGGCAGAAAGCGAAAACTTTGACGGCGATTTCTCGGTTTTTCAGTTTTACGAATTTTCTTAATTGGCGGGCAGGATAAAAAAAACTAAAACTCGTATGCAATTGGGGCAAAGTTTATTATCTTTGACATTAAATTATCTTCTATTTAAACTGAAATATACTAAGAAAAGTTAAATTTGAACACATCTTTAAAGAACATAAAGTAAAATTTTTTTAGTCAGACACCACTTTTTTCAAATTTTTAGAAATTTGAGTTCTTAGACTTTTTTTTTAAATTTTCGTAGTTTAACTTGAACATACGTTTTTAATAAATATGATTTTTTTTATTTTTTGTTTCCCACAGAATATTAAAGAATTCGTATCAAAAGATTTTCGGGTGATGTTAAAATATATAACTATAAACCCTAGACATTTCGCTTTAATCTACTATTTCTATCCCTCTCAAAAAAAGCAGTTTCCCCCTTAAATATCCGCATTTCTTCCAAAACTCAATAATTAAGACTTTTCGTGTTTTATACTTATGTTTTGTCCTATAGAAATAAAGATACATCAATTCGTAACAATAAAATAACTTGATTTCATAACTTACATTTCAAATCTGTGTGCGACTGTCTTCTTAATTTGTTTCTGACAGCAAAACCGATAAAATTGGTTTCCGTGACACCCAAAACCGATGCAAATTGTTTCGAATATCAAACCAATAATGTCTGAATTCATGACACCTACTGATTTTTTTAATCGCCTTCAATTCTGATTCCGACAACTATCAGATTCCACAACACCCCTGACTATCGCTCATAACTCTTTATGTGAAATCCGATATCTCAGGAACTACTCGACCAATTTCAACCAAATTTAGTGCATATGGTAAGGTGTAAAAATAGGAAAATATCGAGATGAAACTTTGCACAAATAGTACATTTAATATATTCTAACTCATGTTACAAACTTATCAAAGTCTGGAGATTAACTCTCAAAACACCGAATATGTGGGCCCCAGTATCTATTGCTGACTTTTTTAGGGAAAACACATATCTGGGAGTTTTTTTATGCGTTTATCGAAATTGGAAGATAATATTTTTTATATATATAAAGATACAACACATAAATATGCGAATTGACTTACAAAATGCGAGGGTATAAAATGCTCATTACTTAGCTCTTCCTTGCTTGTTTAAAGATTTAAGATCTATAGGACGGCGTTTTATATTTTTATAATTTCTTTTGATTTTACAAATATAATTTGTGTAACTTAAGCAACATCCTTAATGTGTAAAATGTTCCATAAGTTCGGTAGATCCGACAATTTTACTACGCATTGGGTCGGATTTAAATTCTGGTACACGAAATGTTTTTTTTTTTTTTGCTATTTCAGATGGGTGTATGTGATATATTTGAACCAAATCGTGCAGATTTTCGCCCCATGACAGAGGAAAAGGGTATTTATGTAAAACACATTGAACAATCGATTAACGTTAATATACGTACGCATCCAATAAACCAGTTAAAACGTAAGTATATTTCAAATTTTTCACCACTTGTTAAGAATATTATGACAATGACAAAATTAAACGCTTTAAAATTGGACATATTTATATTTCAATAGGAGATACAAAAATTGATTTTTTTATTGTTCTTCAGTTAAAAATTTATAATTTCATGTTATTAATTGTCATTTATTATTTTTATTTTTTTGTATTCTAGGTAATTACGGACCGCAAACGTCACCTATTCAGATATCTGTAAACCATCCCTTCCTATTTTTTGTAATCGACCGAGACCTAGATATTGCTGTAATGGCCGGTCGTATTTTAAATCCTTTGAATGTACGAATACAGTGATGTCAAACAGACAGTAACAACAGTACGCCGTATTTCTATCAAATGTAGTCAATTTTGGAGATTATGCAACAAATTGAATAATAAGTACCTTAATTGTTGTAACTTAATTTTCTATCTAGTTCCAAATAAATTTAATATATTTAACAGTATTTAAAATTAGTTCAACTAAATCTCTAAATTTCTTTTTAGGTATGAACACAGTAGGTGGTTAACTGTAAATAGAAGCGGGATAGGAAAGATAATTCAAAACTAAATCGTGGGTTAAGATAGTGAAAAATTCAATATGGAAATATACCAAGTTCAAATACTCAAAATCAATTTAAGTGCATATTATTTTTAGTATTAGGAAAAATTAATGTGATTAATCCTGTTTAGGGCTAAGTTATGTAATATTTGTAGTTTCAAATTTTGAATTTGTTTATCTTTTCTGTAAAATATGTGATCGCGCTTTTGTTGCATACGCAACATTTTCAATCTTTCTCTTTCCACAGCAACTCGATACAAATGCAATTGCCGAATCCGCTGAGACCGAGTCCGTGGTGAATGACCGTTAATACGAAGACGTATATGTCGCAACCTTTTTGATCTACAGTTGCATTTACATTTACCATTATTTCTTGTTGACATATTTTGCATTTGATCTTTCGATTCCCCAGTCCCAGTTTCAACCATAGGGGAAGAAGTTACATTAATAAATTGTGGGTCTTCATATATTCGTTTAATCACTCCGTGATTAATTGACATTGATGCCGAAATCGGATCAGCTAAACCAAAATATTCCTTCCCATTTTTATTTATTTGCTTATCGGAAGACGATGTTTCAAAATCGTCTAATGAAATTGCCTTTTCAATTTTTATTGCGACCTCTTGAATTGGTGGTGGCATAACGTGAAAATTTTGCACATTTATTGTCGCGTCCTGAGCTGTAAATGAAATAAAATATTTTTTTTTTTACTAATTTATTAAATGGAATAACACTTCCAGCATTACCCATTGGTTCCGATGAACATCCAGGTAATGCCAGATGTTTACTCTCTTGTACATAACTCTTTGCTAATGCTTCTTTCACTTTTTTAGCCTCAGCTGCACGTATACGACCTAATTGCTGTTTTAACCTATCTTTTGATCGTTGATAGCCAGCAGCCCGCATATTAGTTGCTATATCATCCCATGCCTCCGATTTCTTCTTAATTGTCATTGTATCACTTCCTTTATTTTCTAAAATAACTTGGTGAATACGCGTAAGAGATAGTAGTAATTGTTTTTCGGCTTCGGTCCAATTTGGTTGCCGTTCCCTTTTTTCTTTCACTTTGATGTTAGAAGCTACTACTAGAATATATGTTTAACAATATTTTCCCACTTGCAAACAATTTTAGTTTCTATTTACCACATAAATCCATAATTCTATTTACAGTACGGTCCGGATCTTTCGTTCAAATGTGTAGTATTAACGGCAGTAATTAATTTTTAAATGCGTACCGGTATTTTGATGTAACCTTTTCAAAATTTTAAGTTCTTTATTATGTTCCCCACAGAAACAATAAATAGAGAGTGCTGCCAGAGTTTCAAAGTACTATTCTACTAAACACTTAAACAAAAGTTAAAATGTTGCTAATACAATGTTGATGCAACATAATATCATAAATTATTCCATGTACATATACAATCGTTATTCATGTGTAATTAAAGAATGTATCGAAAACATTTTCTTGATTGTATTTAGTTATCGTTGTTGTAATATATAAAAACATTTGCAACAATTCATTATCCAAAGAATACAATTTTGAAGTGCTACTATTGCCTCCCACATAAACATGTAAGACACAATTTTTAGATCAACCTTAATTATTATGTATAATATATCTCACTTGGGAGAAAAGCGCAACAGATGTACAGATACACCATCTTTCAAGAAAATGGTGCAATTTACTTTCAAAATTTTACTCTCAAACAAAATTTCCTAAAACTATTAACTAAGAAGAAGCGACGAGGACTCATTTAGCTAAGGTGTGGCGTCCCACCTACGGATCATTCGTACAATTTACAAGAGTTGTACTGTTTGTACATTGTCTGATATTAAGCTAACTTGTGTTTTGAATATGACACTTGTTTTATGTATACTATATATGAGTAATTAATATAAATATACACCAAATACGGTACAAACACAAAATAAGCTGGCATTCGTAAATACATCGGATGTATGGGAGTCAGCTTCGGCATCCCAACAGCACTTCGCTATATACCGGCAACCAGCACCCAGCTGCTGACCCAATGTTACTTGTACAACATGCTTAAAACGGGGCATTTGAACAATATCTTTTACTGCGGCACTGACTTCATCAGAAATCTCCCGAGTCCACTTACGAGCGTCATCTGCATTATATACTTTCCCTAAACAATAAGATATATTTTTTCTTATAAATGTGCTAGAAAAATGGAAATAAATAGAGCATATGCTACCTTGAAGTTTATCATATATTGTGGACTGAATAATACTTTTGATATGTGATGCTGGAAAAAGTTCTCTTAAAGAGGGTTTCATCCGATATGACGTTACAGGCAAATTTGGGCCTACTTCTTCAGTTGCATCCTCAACTATTAACAAGTCAGCTGCATCGCCCACATCTGTAATACGCCTATCATCGTAATCGCCTTCGGTATCCATTTTATATATTTTTTATTACTTATTTTTACACCAACTGGCTTTAAAATATATTTTTTAGTCCCAAATGTGTATATTGAAGATAGTTGCCTAGCAGTCGTTTATTAATAAAACTAAACAATGTACAAGTAAATTGAAAATAAAAACAATGAAAACAATAATTTTGTTTATTTTGGAGGTTGCCATATGTATATTATATTTTTCATAATAACTTCTGGGCTTAACAAAAGTTCTACACAACGTAGTTTGAACCAAATAACGTTATCCCAGCTAATTCTAATTAAGCAAATGTCTCAAATTAATTTTAGAAAATTTAGAAACTCATCAAAATTAAAAAATCGATAAGTGTTTTATTTTAGTTAATGTTTTTTCAGTTATCAGACTTGTTTCTGTATGTTTCGTTTTGAATACTTACAATTTGTTGTCTCCGCAGCAAGATTTCTATTTTTTTATTATGTATGATTAGTGTTTATCGCAAGAGATTTACTATTATTTTTCTATAAAACCAAACCGACCAACAGATAGATATACCAAAAAGTATTAGAAATATATATATAAGATATAAATTATCTGTTATTGAAAATTATTACCCCGCACCTTGACAGAATAAAGTGTATGTTTTACTAACTATTGCCATTGCCGTTTTATGGATGAATAAATTTATGTGGAAAATAAAAAAGTAGAAATAAATTTTTTTCAACAAACGTATTTATTGAAAAAAAATAATGTTTTTTCAGAGTACATATAATATATTGTAGCATAGTTTTTGTATACCAATTAAATTAATAAATTTAATTTGAGATTATTAAATTTGATACTTCGGTCAATTAATAATATTAAACTAAATATTATATTATTGGTAAAATATATTAAATTATTTTGAAAATATACTAACTTATTATTTCGTACTTGATTTTTATGACTTAATCCGACCGTCTTAATACTCGCGCTACTAAACGCTTGCATAGAAATTAAAACTGATCTGCCACATTGCTGATGTGACTTTTCTCTGCATGCAGTATTAATGCACGTATTGCCTATGGAGGCAAACAAATTGAGTATCCACAGGCAATACGTATAGCAATACAGTTATTATGGAATAAATATTTGAATGCTGAGATGCCTCGTTTAGTACTTATATGATTATTTATGTATATCAAACAAGCGAGCTGGGAGCACCAGTCGTGATCTTCAATTTCTTTTATCCACACTTTTCTTTAAGTAAATGCTTTTCTGACACTTCCGTAAAAAATTGCGCGTTTGTGGGTTGTACAATTGGGTGTTATAAAAGAAAAATTTACAAATATAATAAAATATAGAATTTTCTTGCTTAAAAATTATTTCATAAATATAAGCAATAAACTTGGTTTTTATTTAAACATCGGATTTATGAAAAGTTTGCGTGAAATAAATAAAATAGGACCATTTAAAATTATCTTGAAGAGATTTTTCACTTCTCTTATTTTGCCTTTTTCTTTAGTTCGACATCCTCTATGTTCATCTTGTTTCGAACTTTCGCGTTTTTTGTTTATTTCATTTAACGCTAGTGCTTTTCCACAGTAGAACCGGCGATTATAGCAAAAACATGAGTACCAACACCTAAAAAACTTTGGATACAAATCAACGGTTTGTAATGTGAAACAAATTTAATTATCAACTTTATTGAATTAATTTTCCCTCTTTCTCGGCGCGATGAAGATCCATTCCGATGTCTAGTTCAGTATTTATTGAAAGTTGTACCAAAGCCTTCAAGGGCGGTATAGAATCAGAAAATGAAGTTGAGATATCAGGTTCTCCTGATTCGAATTTGGTAGTGGTATATGGAAAAAATGGAGTCAACTTTGACAAACGTGGCATAGAAAATCTAATTGGTGGGTATTAACCTGCAAAAGTTTATGATATTTTAAATATTTTTAATTTATTTTAGAGGAGAAAACTTTATCATCAATAAGTGTTATCAGATTAAGTTCTCCCACACCTAGTATGTTGGATGAAGAAGAAGAGGCCGAGAAAGCAGATGAACTTTTACGTAGACATGCTGAAAGATTATCCGACGATGAATCAAGTAGAAGTAGCAATAATGGCTCATGTGTTGAGGGTGCAGAATATTCTGAAAGTGATGAAGTTCCTACGTCCGAAGATGAAAAAAGTGATGCTGATTCTGACAATTCTGCAGATAATGTTAAATTGGAAAATCGCAAAAAGAAACAGAAAATGAGGAGAAAAAATCGCAACACTACAAAAATACAAAATATGAAAAACAAAAAACATAAGGAACGTCCTGATATTATTGGTCTGACAGTGGAAGAGTTTTATCCGGCAGTATCTGCAAAAGAAGTAGTGAAAGAAGCTTTAAGTAAGAAATTACGATTTATTTATTTTATTAGATTTTTTACAAACTAATACTTTTAGAACTAGCAGGGGTGTCAACATTTAAGAAAACGGCTGATTATGAATTCCAAATGTTTGTCATTAAGAACGATCACTGTTACACTCCATTTACTTCGCCTGCACAAATGAAAGCCAAACTTGCTGAAAAATACAAAGCAGAAAAGCTTGCAGGACGTAGAATCATTCCACACACCGCTGTGACTATGAAGCAAATACAATTGAAAAAGAAAGTCATCGAAGGGTTTCACGATCATTTGGATCAATCCACACACACCAATAAAGATCAACAACTGAAAATATTTACTAAGCCTGCGAAGTTAAATAAACAAACCGAAAGAGATGAATTTGTAGAGGGCGAAGTCGACATGCATAGTTCCACAGCGGAATCTGACTTTGATGTACTTAGTGATGAATCTGGAGATACCGATAATGATCGTGATAGTGATTTGGACTTTAACGTTAACAACAGAAAAGGCCGAAAGAAGAAAGATCTTGTTACGAAAGCAAAAAGACTGTCTGCTGGAAAAGTATGTGTTAAGCGTATTATAGCACAGCAAGACGATGAAGATGATCAACGTAATAAAAATCCACGACCGATTACAAATAATGTTTTTAACCGCCCAAATAAAACTGGATTAATTACCAAACCAGGAGGTTGTGCTCCAATAGCAGTGCAGAAACTTCTTTCAGATGCTGTTGCTGCTTTAGCACCTATTCCAAAGAGATCTGCTGCAGTACAAATAGATGAAAGGGAAAAAGTCGTAAATGTGTCGAGTCGGCCGCAAACCATACAAAGTACTATACACAGAGGCCCTACAATAGAGATACAACATGGTATACAAAAAACTCCAATGGCTCGTACACATTTGCAAGGATCTCCACAGTCTGTAAAAGAAATCGTCATCAATAAGGTAACATAAATGATATTTATCAAACAAAGAATGCTACAACATTTTTTTTAGGTTATGGCTAGTCCAAAAGGTGGATTTACCGAATTAGGTGAATTGTTATCTCAAACAGAGACCAAATCTTCTAGAACGACACCTCTTACTCCAACTAATAGCAATAAGAGTCCTGGATTAAGGCAAAAGAATATACCATCACCTTCAAAAGGTTTTATGCCGTTGGGAATTGAAACTGCTGCCAAGAATAAACTGCCCATACAAATTTCAATTCAAACTCATCAAAGCTCTTCTGAACTGGCAAAAAGTAGAATTATTATGGAATCACTGCCACTTGTTCAACAGAATCATACGCCAAGCAATGAATCTTCAACGCAATGTACCGGAAATGAACCAAGTTCTTCTGAATTAGCGTCTGAGCATTTTGATCTCATCGATTCGATTGTAAAGGACGAAATGCAAAAGGATTCCTTGATGGAAGTGACCTCGAAATCAAATGAAAATATACCAAAACTTGTAAAAATGTTAGAGAATGCCGAACAATCATTGGAATCAACTGCCACAAACCTCCAAATTGACAACAATCTACGTAATTTCGGTACAACCTCAGAGGGGAATGTAGACGATATTGACATATCTAACGCGCCACTTTTAGAATCGTCTGATGGCGTTGAAATACCGGACGATTTACTTCAGCAAGTTGTAGATCTCATTGAAGATGATGAAACTCTGCAAGAAGCAGTTGAAAAGCAAGTATTTAGCGAAGAACATAACGATGAATTTGCATGTGCTGACTCTGCTGAAACAGTTAATATCGTGCCCACGACGACTGGACCACACCAGCTAACGACTACACAAGTATCAGCAAGTTTGCAGGTAAATATATATATATATATTTTTTTTTTATTAATTGTCAATAAAAAGTATTTGGATTTATATCAAAGGAACCGAATCAAGCGAAAAGCATTATTGAAATGGCCATATCAAACGTACCATCATCTTCGATTGGAACAAGTAGTACTGGCGCTGACATGCCTGTTTTCGTAACCAAAGTTGCAACCGCGAAGCCAATGCCGTCACCAACGATTCGTAAGGAACCAATTAAAATTGTACGTGGAAATGGGCGTGTTATCACGTTACCTCCAATTGAAGCACCGACAACCCGTGCTAAGCGAAGAGCCCAAAACCAACCAGCAAATTCAAGTACAATATTTAATGAATCTTCGCTGGATAGTTCATTGCAATCGAATTCGTCGTTTACTACAGTTGAACAGATACCTTCGGGTACAGTTGAAAAGAAAACCGAGGCTGCAAGCAAAAGACGAGTTTCCAAAGAGTCGGCAACTGGCGGAACAAATGCGAGCAAAGCCAAAAAAACTGTAGTTGCAACGAAGAAAAGTACTACGGCTAAAAATGTTGCCAGTAAATCTGGAGCAGAGGAAGATGCATCGGCTTCTCAAGAGGATGATGACGATCCCAATAGGTTTATACTCTGAAATATAAATTACTTTACTTATTAACTTTATTCATTTCGAATATATTGTAGGCTTTGGTGTATATGTCGACAACCACATAATAACAGGTTTATGATTTGCTGTGATGTCTGTGAAGACTGGTTTCATGGTACGTGTGTCAGTATCACAAAAGCGATGGGAATAGAAATGGAACAGAAAGGCATTGATTGGACTTGTCCGAAATGTGTGAAGCTTCAAGAGGAAAAGGTTAATATTACCATTTTATACATATAATATATGGATTACAATTAATGTTAGAGAATAGAATCAACATACTCCCACAATTTTTTGGAATTTTCGTTTCAAAAATCGTTTCAGCAAGACCAAAATTTTATGTGTATAAGTTTTCTAAACAGACCCTCTAATATAAATATATACAAATGATCTTCCCAAAAAGCTGCACATTTGCCGGAACCGCCGAACCACTGTAGTGTATAACTGCCACATGTATGAATGCATTGTATAGACAACTTTTGACAAAATATCTTCACGGAATTTGTCACGAATTATTCTCTGCACAAAAAGTTCAGATACAACTGAACAATCAAGTTTTTGTATGGTAAACTATTATTTAATAGGATATCTTAATGAAATTCCGCGACTATTTATTGTAGAAGGCAAAGGCACGATCTACGAACTATGTCTTCAGTACGAATCACCATAGCTACCATACGAAGTGACGGATCAAAATCATGTTTATATAGACAAACCTTTTATTTTTTAAACCTGAATCCGCACAATTAAAAATATAAAGACACCCTACCAGATAATTCTACATTTATGGGTTTCATTTATTATATGGTAGAAAATTATGATCGCATTTGCGCCATAGCTGTTTAACCATTCAGGAAACATAAAAGAATTCTTAAATTTCCTTAATATACTCAATTTCTTAATTAAAGTATAAAATAATAATGAACAAGTTGTTTTCTATTTGCAGAAACAAAGAAAAATTACTGACATGCTTATTCCAAGAAAGATTATTTCGGAGGCCACAATTCAAAAACCCGAACATGAGCAAATCGGAACCAAAGCAGCATCTGCCAATAATTTAGATTCGACCGTTACAAATTCATCTTTTGAAAGCTTTTTGGACACAACACAAACGACTTATATCAGCACGAAATTGCAGGTTGGAGATGTAACACCAACAAAAACAACATCAAAAAAGGTAACAAAACCAAATGTAAGCGCGATGAAAAAAAAGCCAACGACTTTGAACGTAAAACCAAAGGAGGTCAATACCCCTGCTTCACAAACAAAACGCCGACTTCCAGTTTCACAGCAGGCGATGAAACATCAAGCGGAATCCACAAAATCTTCCTCAGTAGCACAGTCTTCAACTAGCGCCCAACAAGCATTCAAAGATCTTCAAAAGCCTATACAAGCAGAAGCAATTTCAACTGAGCCACAAACTTTTTGCATTGTCTGCAAGAAAGTTGCACGATCGAATTCCATATACTGCAGTGATGATTGCATCCGAAAACATGCCCAGAATGCCCTTAATATGTTTGCAGCCGTTTCATCAGCCAAATCCCCCGAGCCGACTGTATCTTCCAACATAAATGAAGATGCTGCCCTGAAAAAGAAGAAGGCGAAAGGTCTCTTTGAGGATATCCTCTCCATGGCAGACAGGAAGCCGAAAATCGAAAGGGTAATTCATAGACATTTTTATTATTTTATAAATATTACTATTTTTCTTGAAAAAAATTACAGGTGCATGTGATTGAACGAAAAAGTGGTCGTATCCTAACTGGAAGCAATGCGCCTACAACGCATAATCTGAAGAAATGGCTTCAAGACAACCAAACATTTGAGGTGGTGCAACCGGGAAGCATTCAAGCACAAGAAATTGAAGTAAGTTTAACAACTGCTTACGTGCGAAAGATTCTAAGAGCCGATTCCTATTTAATTTCAGAAAAAACAGAGGCACCGTCAAACGCAATCACTATCCCCAATAGTTATTACCAACGTAGGCAAACATATCACATATCAACCTGCAAGTACACATACACATAATATTCAAATAAGTCAGTCCCCGCATGGTAGCAATACAGTCGTGGTTAAATCATCCACGCCGCAAAGAGACGCAGAGTTAAATGTACATGTGCTAAAGCCCGTAAAGCAATTGATTGAGCAAGTCGTAAAAGCCGCACCAAATAGTCCCAGACCTGGTACGCCCAAACAATTACAAAAGTATCCTCAACAGGTTTCTCTTAAACCCGATAAAGCGACACGTGGCGATGCAAAAGAGGAAGCAAAAGATCGAAAGGAAAAACCAAAACAGCGGTCGTTAGCTGAAACCGTCACCAAGAGGCAGTCCGACAATGCTCCATCTGGGAGCACTAATTCTGAGCCTATCCGTTTAAATGTGCGTCGTACTCTAAAGGAACAGTTGCTGCTGCGAATGAATGAAACGGGATCCGAAAATGAGAATTGTAACGGCACGTTGCCAAAATTAAGTATAGAGCAGATAGAGAAATTTGTCCATGAAACTGAAGCTGAAATGTACGATTACTTTAGTCGAGACACCGGCGCACGTTACAGAGCAAAATATCGATCACTGATGTTCAACATTAAGGATAGAAAGAATCGAACACTTTTCGCTAAGATTTGTGCCAATAAAATTCAGCCCAAGCAATTAGTCCGAATGTCACCTGAAGAATTAGCTAGCCAGGAATTGGCGCAATGGCGCGAGAATGAAGCAAAGCATCAGTTAGAAATGATAAAGAAATCAGAACTTGACTTGCTTTCTTGTGCTAAAAATTACGTTTTGAAAACCCATAAGGGGGAGGAAGTAATTGAGGGAAAACTGGAGGATTGTGTTAATTTAGACGCTAGCATACCTGTTGAAGATGTAGTGTCTGTATTAAACAGCTCAATTGTGAGCAGTAGCAGTGCATCAGATCTTGTTAAGGCAGATCTGGACCCGAACTCGTTTATTGAGCATCAACAGAGCAATGAGACCCAAGCAACAAAAATTGGTAGCCACTTTGATGAAGAAAAGCAAAAAAGTCACTCCAAAGAAAAGGATAGAGAGCGCGAAGGCGAAAGGGATCGAAATCGAGATCATGGTCGTGATCGTGAGCACACTCACGCTCGTGCGCGGTCACATGATAGTGACCATAGTCGCGAAAGGATACGAAAGAATAAAGATCGTCACAGGGATAAGTCCAGATCGCGGAAACGCAGTAGAAGTCATTCTCGCAGTCGCAGCCACAGCAGAGAGAAGCGACACAAAAGTTATCACAAAGATGAAAAACGAGAGAGAGAAGATCGTGAACGAGAAAAAGACAAAAACAAAGAAAAAGAGCGGGAACGAGATCGTGATGTTCGCCAACAAAGAGATGAGTGCGATAATAATTCACCTGTAACGGTGAACTCGAATAAAAGCAATACTATAAGTAGCAGTAAAGACAAGAGTAGCTCCAAGAAGCCAAACACTCCGAAGTCGGTAGAAGTCTATAGCTTAATTGATCAAATACTAGAATCAACAAAAACTGTGGAAGAGGCTGCAAACCTTATAAGCGATAAAGAAAAATTTAAGGAGAAAGAAAGAGAGAAGGAGAATCCCAAAAGAGAGGCAATCAGACAAACCGCCACTCCTCCCTTGCCTACGTCATCGGCAATTAAGTTTGCAGCTGAACACAAACCATCAACGTCAAACGCCCATACAAACGATGATCAAGAACCAAGTAGCACCGTGACTATAGCAACACCACCACAAGATCCCTACACTCGTTATACTGATGCCGATTCTCCAACATTAAGTGGAAATGTATCCTCCACCGCACTTTGGAGCGGCATCATTAATATGGTCGACGTCGCCTCTTTCCAGATTGTGCTGCAGTCAGTTATAGGAAACTCTCTAAATTTGGGCACTTTGCTACCCGATGAATTAGATGTCGTTGGTCGTATAGGACCTGAGACTGTATGGGAATATATTTCAAAAATTAAAAGAAGTCCCAACAAGGAAATCGTCATTATTCGTTTAATTCCGGGTTCTGAGATGGAAACTGCAGCTTATATTGTGCTATTTCAATATCTTGAAAATAGAAATCGTTTAGGCGTGATAAATAGCGTGTCGCCGCAAATAAAAGATTTTTATATATATCCATTAGGAGCAGGAAAGCCAATGCCTCCAGTATTATTGCCAGCAGAAAAAGTGGATTTTTATGAAGATCCTCACAGACCCGATATCCTAGTGGGTGTAGTAGTGAGAATTATTGGAAAACGGCACTCGGCACTACCAAACATCGCTGCTTCGACATCAACATCAAAAGTAATTATTACAACTTCAATAATATTTCATTACATTTTAAGCAATCTAATAAGAGAAACCGCTCAATAGAAGTGATATTATATCACGCTTGCTAACAAATATACATACTTTAACGAAAATGTTTGAATACTTATAGTCACATCGCCGTGGAGTCGACCCGGACACGTTTACCCCACCTGGCAGTCCAAAGAGAAAACGTCGCATGCATGCGTCAACGCCGAAAGTTGATGAAATCGACGTGGATGCTATAATAAAAGCACCAATCATTACCAAATCACATAAAAGTATAAAAATTCAATATTAAAAAATATCTTTTGTAACAAAAATGCATTTTTTTACACAGCTTCTCTACCGCCATCCAATATCACAGATGATGATGATGAGCCGTACTCACCTGGTGGAAGTTCTGATGATGATGCTCTCATAGCATCTAAAATGCCTCGAAGATCTGATGAAGACGACTTGAAACGTAAAATGGACGAACTGAATCGACAAATCGCAGCACAAGAAAAGGAAATTGCGGGTTTACTCAATGTGGATTCATCGGTAAATAGAGTTTACTTATAAAAAGTTGTTTGTACATGTCTAATGTTTTTTTTTATTTTTAGTGTTTTGCTTCTACCTCGGCTACTAAGACTTCGGCAGTTTTAGCAAATATATCGATACCATCAAATCTTTCTCAAATACTTGCCAGCATAAAGAGCAAACCAGATAACAATCAAACACATTTCGCATTAACGTCGCATTCAACGTTAATTCAAAGTGCAAGAAAGAGCCATAGTAGTATGCTTGATGAGGACGAATACAATCCTGAGTTAGTTACATTTGACACAAACGGTAAGCCCTAAATTTTACTTATCTATGTAAACCTATTAAACAGAATATATATTTTCAGCCAAGCTAACTGAAAAACCTTCAAGTCGTTTAGCTCAGTTAAGCGAAGCGGAACTTTTGAGTATGGTTCCTGATGGCATGATTGATACTCCACCGACAAAAAAATCTCATTCATCTGGCGCCGACACAAAATCATCGCATTATGAGGAGCCTCCGCCACCAGGTGTATAAATTTACGCCGCATAAAAATATACATTTTCTGTCGTGATTAATGCGAATTTGCCTGTAATTGTTTATTATAAATTCTTAAACTATTTGCACTAGTTTATACAACAATTTTACCGGACTGGTGAGTTTTGTGAATTTAAGAAATTTGTACTATTCAAAATTTCTCATTATTAAGCACACAAAAATCGGAAACAACTATTTGCTAGGCAAAAGTAATACAAATTCGATGCGAAGAAAGTAGGAGAAATAGGACCTTAGGTCTTTAGTTTTCCATACAGGGTTATAGTATATTTACTTTCTCAGATTGTAGTTCGCGTGAGGGTCATATTTAATGGAATAGGTTACTAGCTATTTAGTAACACAAAGTCAAAATTTAGGCATTTCACAGGTCGGTGTACAGTGGGGAACATATATTTTTTATATAATATGTTCTTACATTTGCTCTAATTCTAATATTCACTTATATTGTATTATAGAAAAGCCTGCTTGTAAAATAAAAGTAAATGCAGAAGCTAAAAATATAACTTTGTTTGTTTGTTTGAGTTCTAGCATTTTTCATATCGATTTTATTGTGGATAATATTAACGTTTGATATTTTTATCTTGTTTATATGAGTAACTACGATATGCAAGATTTTAACTATTACCTAACATGCATTATACTCGGAATTTTGTGCAATGACTAAATTTAAACACACGGATCATGTTTTACATTAAAATGGGCACATGTTACTTTAGGTCCACTACGTATTCTGGGGACTGGTATTCGAAAAAGGGTACCCTTCGGCATGCAAACACATATCTTATATTGAATACTCCCAGTGCGCAGTCCGAATTCGGAGCTGACGATTGGTATTTTATCCATATCCAAATAGATCCCGTCACCAGCCTCCAAAATTATTAATCCTTCGGTTGAATTAACGGTCATATCGTAGGAGAGTGACTGTATAAGCACATTGGCAGCATCTAATGAGATGCCTTCAGATCCTTTAAATGAAACGCCAACATCTGTATCCATATTTAATGAACTACCGATGGGACTTGCTATGCGACTAGCGCTTACCGTTTTTGCAAATAAACTTTCGGCACCAGCTGGAATATTGTAGTGTGGACGATGGGATGTGAAGATAGTATCGCCGCTGGTTGAATCTCTCACTTCGAAATTGTTAACCGCTAGAAACTGTATGCCTGATTTATCCAAAGTCAAGCGATTATAAACCTGACCATTCTTATGGAGTCGCACATAGACACCGTCATCACCGGTAATTGTAAGAGGATCATCAATAAACCCTTCAATGCGACCGTTTTGTTTACTGTATACACGATCCAAATCGGTGTATCCGTAAAACTTAATCAAATCGTGTTCGGGTATTATCTCCAGACCATTAATACCTCGACCGAGATGCATCACACCGAATATTGTGAGCATAAGTATGAGATTGCCTATAGTAAGTACCAGCAGTATAAAGAAGATTGTCCAAAAGGCAAAAGTTTTACGGCCTTTTTTGATAGTACCACTATTACCAGCATCATAGGCGCAATGAAACTTCTTTTCTATGCAGCTATCAACATCGGGCTGTATGTGTAGATCCGTTTCCAAAGGAAGAGTGGCTGACATACCATTCTCCGACGGTGCATCATCAGTGTATGAAGGCGAAGGTCCACGCACAAAAGTATTTCCATAATTATGCATTGCAAAATTGGCGTTTAATATATACAACAGCTTCTATGAAAAGCAAGTGTCACAATTTTTACTTTAAATGTGTAAATGTAAGTGCTTGACTATATAAATACTTGTTTTTACATACAAATACATAAAATCATATATATAAATATCAGGGAATACATTTTTTAGCGCTCATGCGCAGGAAACAACACATTATTCACTCGCTGGTACCTATATATTATAAACATTTTTAAATTTTTAAGCAAATTGGAATATCAACAAAGTGAGTATAAAATGTCAATTCCAAACATTTGGAATATCGATGCTTATACAATGCCTAATAAATAATTTTAGAACTCACACGAAAAGTATTTGCATTTTCTATAATTATGTCAGGAATATCTTTTCAAAGATTTAGCATGTGTCACTTTATATACATAATTCCTGGAAAATATAATGATCGAATGAGATATGATATTTAATTTATCGGAGATGTAATGATAAGTAATCGCCAGTATATAGATATATTTTAAAGGACTAATAACACTTTATTTCTATAAATTCTATTCTAAAATTAGGTAATTACCAGGTCTGGTTTTTGGTGTTGTTGCAGTCGTAGAATTCTTCACATAATTTGGGATAACGCTAGCGAGTTAAGTCTTTAGACGGATTAAAAATACGGGTCGATGCACATAGACCTGACCTGGGGAACGGCTGTATCTCATATAACGGTATTCTTCAAAACTAAAGACTCATATTAAGTGGTTAAAATGATACTCTATACAAACATTGTAAAATATTTAATATACTTTTGAGTAAATTATTTGTCATAAAACTCTCAACGAACCTTAATAAAAGTCTATAGAAAAAGTGGAAATTTTCAAAAATGGGGCTCTGCTTGCCCTCAATCTCCACAAACTTAATATTGTAAGATTCGGAACGGTAAATTTAAACATGCATTTTCCTGACTTTGGCTTAAAGTCCAAATTCCGGTCAGATATCCTGATACAATAATGTGGCAATGTTTCGCTTAACTGATGTACATATGTATGTAGGGTTCCTTGTAAAACGTGAATTAACTCGACCTATAATTTTTTACCCTCCACATATAAAAAATACATATTTTTGACTAGCTCTTGAATTTACATAGGAAATTATAGATAATAAATAAAATATCTTAATGAGTTCCAATTTTATCATTAAATTTATATGTTTGAGTATTGATGTTTATTCCCTTACGTTGGTTTTTCTGTTGTATTAAGGTTCAATTATGGGTACCATACCAAACGGCTGATCGAAGCAGCTGCTTCCAAATAGTAGTGCCCACTATATTAATTAAATATTGGTTTCCGCCATAAGCATTAACAGCAGTTTGCTGTTCATTTTATATCCTTTTTTTTGGCATTTTCGAAATGAAAGCGAGCGAAGTGTTTCTGTAGGTGGTACAAACCGAAAAAGCAGCGTTCATGACTAAGTTCTGTGTGAAACTCGGTAAATCTGCTTCAGAGACGTTTTAAATGAGCAAGCCGGCTTTCCCACATGTTGCTTTAGTTAGAAGTGGTGTGTTTCGGTGGCAACCGGCTTTTTTGGAGGACCGGGAAGAGGTCGCTGATGAATGTGCAAATCCAAAGTGAAAATGGTGCTCATTGTCTTTTTTGACCTCAATCTTGTCCGACCAGACATCGCAGCCGATTGCACCTCGACAACGCTCCAGCTCACACCGCCTTTCTTGTGAACAGCTACATAACCAAGGGCTACATCCCAACGTTTCCGTTTCCTTGCCTGAAAAGGCCGATTAAAGGCACGCATTTTGAGACGACAGAGGGAATCCAATCAGCAAGCACCTCGGGTTTAAACGCTATTTCGGAGAATGCCTTCCGTAACGCCTTCAATGCTTGGAAATTGCGCTACATCGAAGCAGAAGGAGCCTATTTTGAAAGCTTTTAAAGAATTGTAATGATTGTTTCAATAATTTTTTAAACCGACACAGTTTATTACTCTTCGGACAAACCGTGTATTTTCAACTTCTGGTTTGAATATTCGTTTTATTATCGCTTCAATTATAGACAACGCTTGAGTTGTTAGTTTTAATTATCGTGAAGGAAATAGAATTTCTCCGATATGCTTGATATCCAGAATAAATCAGACTACACGAATACTTATATTATTAAATGACTTCCATTAAACTGAATATTAAAGCTTTTGAACGGTAAATTTAAACATGCACGTTCCTAACTTTGGTTTAAATCCAATTTCCGCTAAAAATATCCTTATACAATAATGTGGCAATGAATTTGTATTTGAAATAATATTAACACAGGATTATACAAAAACCGTTTTAAGACAAGTTTAAAATAATAAGCATCACCCTGTTTTTCTTGAACAAGCATTCCATACAACGTTGCCATAATTCAGATTTTCCTACTAATTTGGAAAAATGTCTATATGTTGCATAAAAACTCTAGAAAATAGCTAAATAAATATTTATGACACTTAGTTTATTTTATGCCTAACAACATACTAGCTTGCAATAAAAATATAACTTGAACGTTTTTTTTTATTAATTTCATTCAACATTTATATGAAAAGAATTCAGTGGTAACCATACTGAGTGCTATTAACGAAAGTGTTGAATTTAACGAATCGTGTTGAGGTTCGCTTTTTCAACGAAGAAAAAGAAGAAAACAAATTATGAATTGAATGGCGTTACTGAAAGTGGAAGCAATAATTCATTGTCAAAAATATAACCAATTTAATATAGTTTACATAAATTTGCGTAAAAAGTGACGTATAAACGCGGTACCTAATCGCGTATTAGCATTAGCCAAAACGAGACGTAATGTAAGGAAACGCGAAAGAAATTGAAAGTGCCAGCTAGATAGCGGCGATTTAATAAGTGTGCCTACGTATGTGCACTTTTTTATTTGGGAAAGCGAGGATTTTTGGTCGTCGACGACAACGGCCATCACATTAAACGTGAATAACTAAATTAATTAATTTGTTCTCTGGTTAGATCAAATTGTGTCCTGATTAAAAGTAATAGTGAAAAAACTCTTGCAATATTTTGGCGCAAGATTTTAGTCTTCAACTTAGAGTGAATTGTTATATTCACTTGGCCACCGAACAACCTATCCGTAAATTTAAGCTATGAGATTTTGAATACTGAGTGTAAAGTGAATTATTTGTGTTTAAAGAAAGTGCATTTTATGAACGTGTGCATGGTGCATTTTGCAGAACGCTTGTGAAAAAAGTAGTGAAGAGTAGAAAATAGTCGCAGTAGCCGCTATGGTCACAGCAGCATGCAAGCAGGCAGGCAGAAAAATGTGAGCCATGCAAAGAGGCTGCGTTGTGAAAGAAAAGAAACGAACAAGAAGCAGCATTTAGCAGTTGAAGAAAAAAAGACAGAACCAAAGGTAGAAGGCGTACAAGAGTAAAAAGGTTAAAGAAGAGTGGAAGGAAGATAGGTGAATAAGAAAAAGAAGAAGACTTTAGAAGGAGAAGTAGCCATAGCAGTTGCAGCATAGTAATTATTGTTTTGAGACATTACGAGTGATATTTTGGTGCAGAATTAACTTTTATGTAGTTTTAATAATTTAATGTGCTCAAATCTATGTAGTGTAAAAAAGTTAAGAGGTTTGTTACTAAATTATAGGCAGCCCTTGGCTGCAGGCTGCCCAACAAGACACCAGCCGTGTTGCAGCGGACGTACCTAAAAGTGGATCAACTATTATTGTAATCTTAATTTGATTACTATGTCTCCATCTATTAAGAAATGATAACAACGGTAAGACAATTGTACAAGAGATCCCAACCTCTATATTTGTTTATATACAAATTTAAGGATTTGGGTATACATTTAAAAAGTGTATATGGAACAATGCTATGATTCTGTAGAAAATATTTCTTATAACAATAATTAAACAATTAAATAATTGATTAATCTTTAAAAATATATTTAAAATTCAAACAGAGTTCTAATCAACTTTTATAATTAACTTACAGATTTGGTATTCCGGAGACCTTGCCTATTTCCCCACAAAATACGAGTTGATCTCGCAGACCACGAAAAAAATCAACGGAATTTGTATTAACGACAGCATGCTGTGTCCTTTTTTCTAAAGGACATTTATAAGGAACACAAAATCATCAGATGATTGTACATCCGAATGTGCCATTGAAATTAATAATTAAAATTATTATTAAAATACTAAGAGAGTGAGAGAAGTTGATCAAAATTTAAAAGATATATCGCTTAATTAAACCGCGTATACTCGTATAATAAAGGCGCGGAACCTTTTTTTATTGCTGAAGTGAGTCAAAAAGCCGTCAACATTAGGAAGAAAAATACTACGAATATGACCCATCATCTCGGTATGGCTCCATATCGTTTGACGGGTCCAGCGGGTGGGTTATGCCCTCCCGATTTTAAACCGCCACCTCCAACGGATATCATTTCTGCTCCGAGTAATCCGAAAAAGCGACGGAAAACATCTAATGCTAATTCGGTAGCGGCAGCAGCTGCAGCGGCAGCAGCGGCTTCGGCAGCTGCTAATTCAATGCAATCACAAGCTCCTCCCACTCCTGCAGATTTGTTACCTCCTCCACCAATGGGAGGTTTTGGAGATACTATCGTCGCATCCAACCCATTTGATGACACACCTCCCAGCATGTCCAGCAGTAGTATGTCGAGCATGAGTCATATGGTTGGACCGGGTCATTTTGGTCCTGGCGGTATGGGTGGCCCTCATATGGGAATGGGAGGCCCACATGGTCCACCACCCCACATGCATCCGCATATGCATCCTCATCATCCCGGTGGGCCTCCGCACCCACATCATATGGGTGGTCCGCCCATGCGAGGAATGAGTCCAATGGGAATGGGTAGTCCTATGGGCGGACCTGGTCATCCAATGGGTCCTGGAGTTGGGCTTCCACCGCATATGAATCATGGACGAGCAGGTGGACCAATGGGTAGTCCTATGGGTGCAATGGGCGGCATGAGTCCTATGGGTGGTATGGGAGGACCCAGTATATCTCCTCATCACATGGGAATGGGAGGACTGTCACCTATGGGTGGACCAGGACCAGGGCCGGGACCTGGGCCTAATGGACCGCGTGCAATGGGATCACCAATGGGAAATCCGCCTGTAGGTAGTATAGGAGGGCCGCCTGGTATGTCTCATGGGCCTGGTCAAGGGTCACCAATGAACTCATTGCCAATGGGATCACCCATGAGTAGTGCGATAGGTAGCCCACTTGGTCCACATCCACCTCACCATCAACAACAGTCTCAGTCTCAACCTCCGCCGCATATGAACAATGGCCAGATGGGCCCACCAACAATGCATAGTCCCCTAGGAAATGGTCCAGCGAATCATAGTCATTTAGTAGGAGGGCAAGGACCCGGGCCTGGTGGCCCTTTATCATCGCAACAGCTAGGAACAAATATGATGGGCACCATGAGTGGGCAATGTGGTAATATTGGTCCGGGAGGAAATTCTCCTGCTGGTACAGGACCTGCACATACGCAGAATAATAGCAATAATAGCAGCAACAACAATGCAAGTAATAGCAAYAACAATCAGAATCATCATCTCTCTCCTGCGGGGCGTATGGGTGGTGCGACGTCTCTAAGTAACGGACCTATGCCACCATCATCCTCGTCGGCAACGACGGCAACGTCATCAGCATCGTCCATTTCTGTACCAACATCTTCTCCTGCGCCAGGAGGTGTAAATCCGGGTATGTCTCCGATTCATTCATTGAGTGGGAGTATCAGTGGAGGACCTGGACGAAGTCCTAGTATGATGAATAATGCAGGTTCAGGCGCTGCCCCAGGACCAAGTCCGTTACAATCTCCTTCGTTGGGTAGTGGAGGAAGTGGAAATATCGGTGCTAGTCCAATGGGATGTGGTGTAGGCGGCAACACAACTGGTCTCAACATAGGTCCTGGCAGTGGTAACAATAGCAATAACAACAGCAACAATCCCAACAACGGTCCGATGAGTTCGAGCGGAAGTGGACAGATGAGCGGTCCAATGCAGCAACAGCTGAATGCAAATGTTCCTATGCAGCAGCAGCAGCAGCAGCAACAACAACAACAACAACAGTCTATGGCGCTTGGTGGGAACGCGGGTGTTGGACCTGCTGGTCAAATGCAAATGAACAATTCCGGAGGACCAGGAAGTATGGGTTTAATGGTAGGCCAAGGACCTGGTAGCCAAGGAAGTGGCTCCAACCAGGGGCCATCCGGAATGTGCGGTGGTATAGGCGGGGGTGGTGTACCCAATCAAATGCTTCCTCCACAACAACCACATCTCGGACCAACCCAACAACAATTAATGAATCATGCACACCACCATCCGGGAGGACCAATGCCACCTCACATGATGGGCGCTGGACCTAACTCGCATATGCACGGACCTGGAGGTTTGATGCCACCACACATGGGTGGTCCTGGAGGACCTAATCATCCCCATCCACCTCATCATATGATGGGCGCTCATGGCGGCAGTTCGCACATAGGTCATATGGGCGGTGTGCCCGGACCAGGTGGTGGTAGTGGTCCTGGTGGTATGAATGTACCACCACATCCCCACGGGCATCATCCGCATGCACATCCTCATGGACCTCCACATACGATGGGCGGACCCAATCAAAATATGTTCGGCCCTGGTGGTCCAATGGGTCCAATGAGCGGGCCGGGTGGTCCGATGGGCCCTGGGGGCCCAATGGGTGGCCCTATGGGAGGTCACATGGGCCCCATGGGTGGTCCAGGTGGACCAATGGGCAACCTTGGTAGCGGTATGGGCGGCCCAAAACCTATGCCAATGGGCACTGGCAAAATGTATCCACCCGGACAACCGATGGTGTTTAATCCTCAAAATCCGAATGCGCCACCAATTTACCCATGTGGTATGTGCCACAAAGAGGTCAATGACAACGACGAGGCAGTATTTTGTGAATCAGGATGTAATTTCTTCTTTCATAGGTGAGTAAGACAACAAATTTTTGTATTTAAATAGTGAAAGAATAATATTTAGTAATATAACTAATATCTATTGGCAGGACGTGTGTGGGTCTCACGGAGGCGGCTTTTCAAATGTTGAAAGATGAGGTGTACGCGGAATGGTGCTGTGACAAGTGTTTGTCTTCCAAGCCAATACCTATGGTAAAATTTAAATGTTGAAATAACACATGAACAGCGCATTAGCGCTTTGGCTTAGAACTTAATTGACAGCAGAAACAGTGGGTATATCTAGCTGGTGTAGTGAAAGACACTCATCTTTACGCAGACCGCCAGCTAAAAATGGTTGTTATTGGTGCCGGTTAACATTGAAAGCAGGAGCAACAACGACACAAGACACACAACACCAATGTAGAATAATAGTTAAAATAAATTCGGGAAATGACAGCGAATGTGAAAACTGTTGGCAGCACCCTGATGCAAAATGAACGGCCCAAACATACAAACACATATATTCGCGCTCACCTACAATCACATAAACACATACTACTTTGTATAAATTTAATTGAAATGCAAAAAACTAAATAGAATTAAGATACTACCATTAAATAACATAGGAAGTAAAACATAAAAATGAAATTTAGAAATAGAATTTATGAATGAGTGGATCAAATAAGCAAATGCAGTTTAATGAAAGTAGCACACGTGCAGACGCGCATTAAAGTCGATCGAACCAAACGTTATTTAGAGGGAATACAGTGCAAATAGGTGCAAACTAAGTTTAATCTTAAAATATGCGCTAAAATTCCGCATACAAATCAAATCCCCAGCGGCCTTTTGGGGAAAAAGTTATACCATCGAAAAGCGCCATTGCGCTAATTTGCATTTGTCGTACACGAATTGCTTTATTTACACGCTCAATGTGGTCTCACCCATAAATGTACTACAATGACTCGGTCCGAAAAAATACCATACTTCAATCATTTTTCAAATTGTTTATGATTTAAAGGTTTCTATTTAATTTCGACATAGATTCTTACTTAAGATTGTATTGTTTTAAAAATCCTAAAAAAAGGTCGGAAGCTTGTGAAAACGTTGAAAATTTTACATTTCAACTCTTTTGTGTTCGTATCTACTCGTAATACTGTTTGTTTTTTTGTGTGTCGGAAATTTTCTACTTACTGAGTAAATTATTGCTTTGAATTCATGTAGGGCACATTCATGTATAGTAAACTTTTTAATACACACAAAGTTGCAAAATGAGGTGAAATTGCTCAATTAGGAACTTAATGAAATGTTTCATTCAAGTGGTATTTATTAAAGGAGCATATAAAAATTTAATTTTTTATGGGTTTATGAAACTTATGTGTATTCTTTTTTCAAATCTGAGTTTACTGCAGCGTTAAAACAGAACCGAAGTGTACTTTGTTTGGATACATTATGCCCAAACCTCAAACCTTTAAGAAACTCTGCTTATTGCTGTCTGCTGCGACTTATAGTTATTAACATATATGTAGTGTTATTGCTTGCGCCATCTGTTTACTATTTTTTTTTTTACAAGTTATTTTATTATTATTATTTTTTTTCGTTCGCTTTAGTTTCATGTGGTGTGTAAGTGCTCCATTTTTAACTAAAAACATTTTTTATGAAAGGTAATTCTGCGTGTGTGAATTTTCAAAGATAATAATAAAATAACAAAGAAATAAACGTTGAATGATGAAAAATATAAAAACCATACGAAAGCTGTAATTGCCGATATGTAAAATTTACTAACTAAACAATTTAACATAGTCATAAGTATAAAATTAAGTAATTGATCATTATTTGATTATAAGACGAATTAAATATTATGCAATGAACAATTATACGAAAATTAAAATTAAATAAACGAAAAAAAAGTAGGTAAAGTAACAATAAAGTACGCAAACAATGAATAATAATGAAATAAGTACTAAATTATATTAACTGGGAAAGCCAATAAAAATGTGTAATAAGCAGTTGTAGCAAATACAAATTAAAAGCAAAACAACAATTAAATGGACATTTTTTTAAATGTTATCGTAATTAATAATGAAAATACTGCATACACAAAAAAAGAAAAAACATTACACAAAAATCTTAATATAGAAATATTAAACTATAAGTTATTTATAATTAAATAAAATTAAAAAAAAAATAAAAAATAAAATTCAATAAAAATAAAAAAATATAAAATCTTTAAGACTTTTTATTAATTTATTGTTATTTTACTACGCCGTTATTAATTCTCCTGAACTATTTGAAAAATATTGAGCTTTGTTTGACTTGGTCAAAAATGTATACAAAATCAGTCCGACTTTTCCACTAGTTCCCATTTGCCAAATATGAACATCTTAACTACTTCTACTTGACATTAATATGTGTAATAGTAAAATCAAGTATTTATGGTAATACACTAATTATATTTAATGTCATATAACAAAAAAACATAGATATTTCAGACAAATCTAACAATTCTTGCAATTATGGTAGTTTTCGGTTCAACTGACTTTGCTCTTCTCGATTTTTTGACTCAACATCATTCCACATTCTGACCAATGTTTTAAATTTTTATATTCTTGCAACATATTGTTACAAAGTATAATAATTTTATAACTTCTATTTGTATTACCAAAAACTAATCGGTAATGATATAGGATTATGTACATACATATAATTATGTGATCAGCATGATGAGACGAGTGGAAGACCGAATGACTGCCTCCCCATCCGTTCGTTTGTGCAAGCAGTAATTTGAGTAAAAATTAAGATTTCTTGAAGAAACTTTGTACACATGTTTCTCGACACCATGAAAAGGTTGGTGACATCAAATGGTAGTCCACTCACGATTTCGTCGAACAACGAATGTTGAATTCTTTCCCAACATTTTAATAACCTGAACAGTGTATATTGAATTTGCTACCAGGGCCGGCCCGAGACAGTTTCCCGCCTTAAGCAAATTTTTCTTCAAAACCTATTTTGCTTTAACATCTTGATTAATATACCCAGAGAAATATGTAAAATGCCTACCAAAAATTCTGGCGCCCTAGACAATTGCCTAATTTGCCCATATGGAGTTTTTGAGATATCGATCTGAAATTTCGCACACGTTTCCACCATACATATAGCAAACTAAATCACCAAACTCAAGCTCCTGTAAGGAAGACCCTTGTTTTAGAGGAAGTATCTTCACAAAATTTGACATGTTGTACGTGCAAAGAAACGATGCAACCTCCGAACATATCGTTTAGCTCGCATCATTAAAGCATATAGCTGTCACAAAAAGAATTTAATTTTGATATTATATATATTACTGTGGTTGTTGTTGTAGTGTAGAAATCTACCGCTACTGTATTTTGTCACCGGTTACAGTTACCACGAAATTCTGCAAAACAGTACTTGGCCTTTGACGCTGGGACAGATTTGCCATAACACTAATCAATTCACCTCTTTGCATCCACGACGTTTTGTCCATCATGAAACAGTAGCAGAGCTGTTATCACTTTGAGACTTTGCTTTTGGCGCGCTTTCATAGTCTGACAATGACTTTTAGCCCATGTGGTATGATGTATCTAAGATCCGGATGAGTACCATATTAAATATGTTTGAATTTTAAATATTCCATATTTGTAGAACCGATATATATATATTATTAACAGCCGTTTTTCAGAACGCTTTTATCCAATCAATGGCGTAACTATACCGTTCGAGGCCCGTGGCAAATTCATCGAATGGGCCCCCTGCTCTCCCACTTACTCAATATATAAAGAAGAACCAACAACAATAGTATTTTTTATTTTATAATATTTATTTATACACTTTTATTTGTAAGAGTTAACTAATAAATCACTACGTGAAGTAGGTACATACAAGCTTTATAATTATAATTTCTTGATTTTCTAATTATTCACTTTTAATTAAAGGTACCTAATTTAAAGTACATATTGAACTGAAATCACAATTTTATTTTAAGTACACAATTTTAATTATTAAAATTCCTTTCTTCCGACCTTCTGTTCAGCAAAAGTCTTAATGACATCATCAAAGTTCAAATTTCGGGCCATAGAATTTTCGATGGATAGAATAGCCAAATTGCTTAACCTTTCTTGTCCCATAGAATTTCTTAAATAAGTTTTTATCAATTTCAGTTTTATAAATGATCGCTCGGCACTAGCCGTAGTTACATAAATGGTGAGAACTAACAGAAATGAAGTGCACACTTCAGAAAAGCTTGAAGATATAAAATGATTCTTTATTATTAATAAGTCAGCAAGTTCTCTTATAGAAGATGACCTTTCTATTTCGTGTTTAAAGGAGGATCGAAAACTGAGAATTTCTTTGGAAAACGATATAGATATATCTTTTTTATATAAATGGACAAATTCTAAAGCCTTTTCCAATAAATCAGTATCATTCTAGTTTGCTTTGCAGGCTGCAAGACACTAAAATTGGAAACAATTTCATTCATTCCAAGGAAATGCGATCTAAGTTGATTAATGATGATGTCTAATACACGATAGGGAGGATGGAGTCATGTGTAGAAGTTCACGTAAGTGAGGAAAGTTTTCTGATCGCCATTCACTTGGGAGTGGCCAGAAACGATTCTTTTACATATGACTCAAGCAGCTCACGACTTCCGGTCCTTGACCAAGTATCCTCTGGTAAGCCTAAGAACATCCGTTTGAGGGCAAGCTAAAGTGAGAAGGCGAAATATTCCCTGCATAGGGTTGTGCGCTGGGTTTGGGATCCGCCACGTAAAAAAACCACCCCAATGACAACGCAACAACAGCCTCGGATGAGAG